TTTTTTGGACTCTGGTCCAAAGACTATAACTTCTGTTTTGTCTGCATTCAGGAGCAGAAAGTTAAGAGTTATCCAGGTTTTTATATCTTCAAGATATACCTGCAATCTATGTAATGTGTTGTGCCTCATCTGAATTTATAGACCAATATAGCTGGGTAGAAAAAGGGGTTGACTAAAGACGCTCTTTCTAAAAGGTTTCAGTCCTAATATCTTTTCTTTCAATCTGGTCATAGAACACATCCACGCCATCTGAATAAATGTAGCCATTGTCCGTAACGCTATTGTTAAATTATGTTTTTTTAACCTTAAACAATTTGCATGCAACGCATTAGATAGAGTTACAGGAAGAGCATGTGTACTGTAGTGTTTAAAGATGCAGTGAACCATGGAAAATGTTTTGCTCATTTCTTCTGAGAGCAGATGCATTATGTGAATGAGACAGGACAGGACTGGGTAGACTGGAACTGCTTAATTTTACCTTCATGGATTTAATTGATGTCAAGGAATAATGTTAGAAACATACAGTAACTTACACTGTGTCTTTGAACCCAATGTTCCTGCTGTTCTGGAGAAAAAGAAAGATTTTAATAAAACAGGGAAATAGGTTTGCTGACTAAACAGGGCAAGGTTGTTTCCCTCTGGGTTAATAGCTGCTTGTTTGTTAAATGGGTATTGTGCATGCTTTCTCTTCGCTCTGCTAAGCTGGCGTGGTCCCTAAGGTAAAACAGGAGATTGACTAGAAATACTGCATCAATGGCGAGACTGAATACATTAATTTGTGATGAAGGCCAACAGAAGATCCTTTTGTGAAACAGTTGATAAGGTAGGGCAGGTAGAAAAAGCTGAATTTAGTTTTTTCTCTGTTATATTAAAAGTTTGTTCCATAAAGCAGGATAGTTATAGAATCAACATTGTGTTTTCTTTGTGCTTGCCAGCTTGCTCATGAGGGTCCATTGCTAATTTAAAAAGTTAATATAAGGATCTGGGCTTTCTCAGAAAACATATTATTTCTTAGCATTTTAGGATCAAGTGATTTCAACAGCGATTGACCGGCGCTCTGTCCAGGATGTACCTTGCCTTTACCCGTAGACTGCTGGTGATACTGTTAGCACCGCCCCTCTGTGATCATAATCAACAGATAATGAATCGATGATTTTAACTGAGTTCTCTTACATTTAGATTTAGGTTTTTCTGCAAGTAATTGGATCTATGTCTAGGGCAGGGGTGTCAAACTGGTTCCAGAAAGGTCATGTGGCAGCTGGTTTTCTTTCCAACCAAACAGTAGCTCACCAGACTCCAGTCTTAACCCAATGATGGATGAGATGAATGGAGTCTGGTGTGCTACTGCTACATTAGAAAGAAAACCAGCAGTCATGCGGGCCTTTCTGGAACCAGTTTGACACCTATCATCTAGAGTATATAATTTATCTCAGTAAAATGAATTAGGTTGGTTTGAAAAAAAAAATAGGTTTAAGCTGGATTCTATATAACTGGCCATTGTATTGTATATATTGTCTTGTGAGGTTCACACATCACTCTAGTTTTAATTAGAGACGCACCAATCTGACACATAGATCGGATATCGGCTCCGATATTAACTAATTACCTTGATTGGATATCCATGATTGGAGATCCAGTTCATTCCACTCCATTCCAGTTCATATTCCTGTAAATTTGTTACCTTTGTTTATGTCAAGGCTAAAGCTTCACTCACATTTCAAGATATATGGGTTATCTGTTCTAAGGTTGAATCTAGGGCTGCAACTAACGATTATTTTAAAAATCGATGAATCGGACAATTATTTTTTCGATTAATCGATGAATCGGACAAAAAATATTTTTTATATTAAC